CTGAGGCGATGAAGAAGGAGATCGGCGGCAGTTTTGGGCAAAATCGGTCGGGATGAAGAAGGAAAATCTGCGAAATCGATCAGCGAAGAAGGCTCTCCAGATCCACAAATCCAGATTTGGTAGGCAAAGCTCTAATTCCAAATGTTCTAATTCCAATTTGATCTTTAGTAAGATTTTGGATTTTTTTATGAATGGTATGTTGTTTAAGAATGAGCATTAGATTATTATAGAATGAGTACTACTAGGTTTTGGAATAAGTATTACAGGGCCGGCTATACCCATGGGCATGGTGGTCCTATGTACATGGCCCATTTTTAGAGGGGGCCCCATGTATTTATATATAAAATATATGTATATGTATTTATTTATTTAATAAACTCTAAAAAAGGAACACTAACGTCGGAGGATTAAAAATTAGATTGCATTGTACGTATTTGGAATTTATTTGATTTAAGATTACTAATATAATTTTGTGTTTGATTTGATTATTATTTGAAGTTATGAATTTGACATTTTACTATTTTTATTACTATAATGCTCTCAAGAATGCTACAAGAACTTCACAAATTTTTAGTTTGCTATCAAAGTATGCACTTATAAATTTATAAGACTATGAATTTCACATTTTATTATTTTTATTCTTTTAATATATTTATTGTTAAATAAATTAATTCATAAATGTTATTTCATTATGACACAATAACCTTTTTTCTCTGTATCGTCCAGGGCCCCTAATTTCTCGGAGACGGCCCTGGAGTATTACGGTATTCATAAATGAATATTGTACAAATGTGTGCAAATGAGTACTATGTATTTCAAAATGAGTACTATGTTATTTCAGAATGAGTACCACACTATTTCAAATAAATTGTTATGTTTGTGCAAGAAAGAATACTACTTTAATTTAGAATGAGTACTAACCAGATGTACCTATCTCTAGGTACAACCGGTTGTACCATATATTTACTCAATATTTTCCTTTCCTCCCAAGGCCTTATGTACAGTTTTAAATTATAGGGTATTTTAAATTTAAGAGAAAGTTAGGGAGTAATTAGAAATGGAGACAGTTATATTCTTCTCCGTCTTCCATCGAGCTCCCAGAGCAGAGAGGGACGCACGCAGAGAGCTTTTCTGGCAGTAAGTTGAAGCAGACATAACGAGGAGGAGGGCGAGGATGAACAACGATGGTCTTTCAGCACACACCTGAATCCATCAAGCGGAAAATCAGAAATTACCCAGTGACTAGGGTTGATTTCCCGGGTATAATTTCAATTCAGTAGTTTTTCTTCACCCCACTATTCGTTTTTGCTGCGGTTTTCTTGGTCTTCATTGAGTATTGTGCAGTTTTAGCATTTGTGTGTATGTCAAGTTCTAAGAATTTCACAGATTTGAGGATGAATATTTGATCCATTGAATGCTTAATTACAAATATGTTCATTCCAGAAAAGAATCCCCCCTCTCACACAAACTTCCCAAAACACATTCCCTCCATAATATCGAACCCTTTTCATCAGTTTTCATTATTCAATTTCACATTTTCTCTGAGCTAAGTTGAAGGCTGACACTTTTATCTTATCATTTGTTTTTTTAGATGCGGTTCACTGAGACTACGAGTTTATGCCAATTGCTTCTTATTTTAGATGATCAGTCATAATTGAGTATTTTAAATTTTGTTGCGAAATTAATTTAAATTAATTCTTATAGTTACCATATTCTCATTGATCGGTTTCTTTTGACTCCTATGGTTTTCTATTGTTGGGAGGGTGGTCGTTTTTCATTTAAGATTTTGAGCCTTTGTTTATGATGGCTTATATTGTGGCATAGTCTTTTGAGTCCATTAGTTTAGCTGGCTTGGAGACATCATGGTTGGTTGTTTTATTTGCGGTTGTTTATAGTGTCGGGTCAGATGAGCATAAAAGAACAAGATAAGTTAGTTTTGTTGGTGGATTGAATGAAATACATTGATATTAATATATTGTTAAAGGTTTGAATTTTCTAGTGAGTTTTATGTTGTCATAATTAGGAGTAGTGACTGGGATGTAGTTACTTTGTTTATCTACTAGTCATTTGTAATTAGGGATTCTAAATTTGATGAGTGTAACATTTAGTTAGCAGTTGAGTTCTTATTTTGAATAGATTTGGCTAGAGTTTAACATATAGAGTAGCTTTTGGGTAGCACTTTGAGACCTTTGACTCATAAGTTTCTTGTTTTCTTTGGAATACTGATGAAAAATAGGAAGGCAAATCAGATGTGAAAGGTAATGGGTAGTGATGGATACTGCATACAAATTTATACTATATTTTGGTGAGGTCTAAATGAGACTGAAATGGAAAATGGAATTGATCCCAGCATTAATATGATGCTTGTCTACACGGTCAGAGTAAAGGATTAGTTTTGGTTCAAGCTGACGAGTCAGTATTAACTTAAGTAAATATTCATAGGTTATTTGTACATTTTTAAAATAGAAATATCTGTTGGAATTTGGGAATTTCTCCATGGCCGTAAAGAAAGGGTGATTTTCATTTAGAATTTGATTATGTTGGAGGTTAAAGAGTATTCCTATGGTATGTTTGGGGACATGAATTTGGATTTCAAATCCGGATTTGGTTCAAATTCCATGTTTGGGAAACTCAAACATTTTGAATTTGGATTTGAATCAAATTCTTTTCATTCATAACAAAGCTTAATTTGAAATCCACACACTTCCCCTTGTCATTTAAAATTCAGGATTTCAAATTTTGGAATTGAAATACATGAATTGAAATGAAATGCTAGTTGCCAAACACTACCTAGACCATTTTATTTTCAAAATTTAAGATTGCATCAAAAGTTTCGTCTTTCACCGAATGCATAAGCTAGGAATCCAACTGTATTATGCTAGTGTTATGTTATGCCATGTGATTTGATCTAGTTAAAAGATCACAATGTCAGTTTCAAATTCTCAGGGAGAAACTTTGCTGCATAGGGTTTATGATAAATGACTAATATGTTGTGAGGAAGACGAAGAGCACAATGTAAAGAGAGTACTAAGCACATAAAATTATACAGTGGATTGATTGAAGTGGGGGTAGGAGGTTCTGAGAACGAGGGTGGCTTATGGAAGCCACATACTAACAAAGCCTTAAGAGATATCAGGATTGATGTGGCGTTGAGTGACTTTTGATTTGGAATGAGTGATGGTAGAGTACTAGCTACAGATAGCCTTAGGATGATAACACATCCCTTCCCAACAGTTGTTGCACGTCGCCACCACATGTCGTGCCTCTCTCCCTCAGTTGATTGGAGTCCGACGGCTCTCATTCATTCTCCATTTCTGTATGACTGTATATATAAATGAAATTTTACCATGTTTCTCCATGTCTTTCACTCCTGTGCCCTAGCCAAATTATTACTCCCTCCGTCCCAATTTAAATCGCCTGTTTTAACTTTTGGGCATATTTAAGAAAAATAAAAAATAGATTGATTTTTTAAAAGGAAAAATTACCAAAAATAATCCCAACTTTACCCAGTCTATCAAAAATAATCCACCTTTCACTGTGATGCACAATAATCCCAACTTTATTGAAATTTGCCAGTTTTGGGTCGCCGTTAAATTTCTAACGGAGGGTTAACGGAAATGCCCGTTTTATGCAACAAAATGAAAGTTGGAATTATTTTTGATGAATTTTTGTTTTTTAATTTTTTTTGAAATTTTTATTTAAATTTTTTGAATTACTTTCAACCTCTATTTCTTTTTCTTTTTTAAAGATTATTCTTACCTTAGAAAAAAATAGATATAAAAAATAATGAAAATGAGAAAAATAACTAAAATCATACAAAATTAATCAAATAAATAATGTAATCAATAGAAATTAAACAGAAACTGGTAAGAAATAAAATAAATATCTATGCAGTGGTGGGTTTTAACATTTTACACACTATACGGAGTCTCAATGTACTACTTATCACAAGTCATCCAGTAAAGTTGGAATTATTGTAGATTATTTTTTCTAAAAAAATAAGAAGTGATATGTTAAAACTTTGTATAATGCACAAAATATGAAAACCCACCCGTATATTTTTATTTTACTTTTACCAATTTCAAGTAAGGTTCCATTGATTACATTATTTATTTTATTATTTTTGTACTTCGTATCATTTTAGTTACATTTCTCATTTTTTCATTTTTTATATCTATTTTTTACTCCCTCCGTCTATAAATAAACTTTACATTACGCATTACGATGTTTGACTGAAGTTATTTTCAAATTATTTTATATGAAAAATGGTGTAGAATTGAAAAATAAAAATTACATATTAAAAAACTATATCAAAAGATCTATAAAACTAGAGGTGACATGACTATATTATTTTATCAAATGAGTGACAAAAATAGGCCAACAAAATGAATAAAGTTTGACCCTGTAAATAGTGAACGTAAAATTTATTTGTGGACGGAGGGAGTATATTTTTTAAACTAAGACTAATCTTTATAAAAGTCAAAAAAAATGATGATGGAGGTAGAAAGTAATTTAAAAAATTTAAATGAAAAATTTAAAAAAAATTAAAAAAAATAAAATTCATCAAAAATAATCCCAACTTTCATTTTGTTGCCTAAAACGGGCATTTCCGTTAACCCTCCGTTAGAAACTTAACAGCGACCCAAAAGTGGCAAATTTCAGTAAAGTTGGAATTATTATGCATCACAGTGAAATGTGAGATTTTTTTTGAAAGACCGAGTAAAGTTGGGATTATTATGGGTAATTTTTCCTTTTCTAAAATTGTTATTATTACTTTTTAGAAGGGGTGATGATGAATGAGAAGATAAGGTGAAGAAGAGTGACTTATTTTAGGGGTAGTTTAGGTATTTTATTTTTAAAAGTTTACGAAAACAACTAACAGGCAACTTATTTTGGGACGGAGAAAAAAGGCAAACAAGCAATTTAAAATGGGACGGAGAGAGTACTTTTTTCATACTATATTAACTGCATCTTAACACTTTCTTTTTTTTCTTTTTTGCACATAAACACAAGCTTTATTACCAATACAAAGTTTGGGTACAAGCGGCAAACATCCAACAGTCAAACACAAATATTTAAGACATGGCTTTCATATAATAAAGATAACTTCTAACATATTGGCTGGCTTGGACTTGAACTTCTTCAATTGTCTTCCTTCTTTGGTGCCTCATCTCGTTCCTCCATTTCCATTTGAAGTAAACATACGTACCCCAAATGGCCAGCATAATCCTATTTTCCTTCCCCCCCCCCCCTTGAATCTCTGTATCTCTTCCTCAATTCCAGTCCCGAGTCTAAGCTTTATGTTGAACATTTCCATGATGTTTTGGAATACTGGTTTCACTCTTTCGCACTCCAAGAAGAGGTGATCCTGGGTTTCAGTTGCGTTACCACACAATTCACACTCTGCACTTAGATTCAGGAATCTAGCCATCCTTTCTTTCATTTGTATCTTCTTTTTCCAGAACAGCCATCCTATAAACCTGAATTTAGGAGGAGTCAAACTATTCCATACCCAATGCCTCCATTCAGGCTTCGTCTTATCCCCTTGTAGCCATTTATACCATGCCTTAGTGGTATATAGTTGCTGGTTTGGCATGGCATTGAATTTGTCCCTCACCCTTATCATTGAAAAAAGAATGAATGTTGACATAACATATGTTTACTTTGAGCACAACTAATTCGGACCAGCTTGTGCCCAATCTAACCGTGTTTCCGTATCCAAATACTAGGGGTTTCAACCTTTTCCTAAAAATTCACCCAAGGTCGACTACTTGAATACATTTTGTGTAAGTTCGTGGAGCACAACGGATAACACCAAACACAAGCTATGCAAACAAAACAATCAACTATATTGTAGAGAATATGCTGCAGCACTGTCACAGTAACAGATGACGGACAGTGTGCTATAACACTTCTCTGTCACAAGCACACACGTATAAAATAAAGTAAAAACAGCAAGCAAGACACCAGAATTGTTCACGCAGTTCGGAGCAAATTCTCCTACGTCTGCAAGGCCCACGTCCGTGTAATAGCCCTTCCACTAAATCACCGTAAGAATTACACAATCAATCACAACAGAACNCTACTTACGAATGACTTGACGACAAACTCGGTTTGCGTCTATCTCCACGGCTTGTTACACCTTCTCAAAGATCTTCTTCAAGGACGTAGATTCCAATACACCTTCAAATAAAGATTCTCCTTGATCTACTAAAATATGCAGGCTGATCCGAAGCTCATAAATCAAGATTGAACCGTTAGAATTCAATCTCCACCGTTCAGATTGAAGCTCCACGAGTCCTTAGACTCCTCCTAAAATTTCAGCACGATCGGACAAGATTTGGTACTCCAACCAACAAGAAAACCAGGGCTGCGTTTTCTGCAAAAAAATCAGCAACGATGTGTAGATTGTAACTTTGATAAAAGAAGATCTGTAACTCCGATTGACGTGAAATTTTAAAACGTTGAAGCTCTATTTGTTGAGAACACTCTCAGAAAATTTCAGCAAAATCCAACGGTCGGATCTCTGGCGATGATCAAATCGGTGCGGCTGTCCAGAAACTTTGCACGGTCTAATTTTGCACCTTGTTTTTCTTTTTGATCGAACTTGATTCAGGTTCTTCGTAATTTTTCACCTCCTAAACCCTAAAGGAGGGTGAAGATAATATATAGAGCATATTAACCTTGTTAGAGTGTGCTTAGGAGTCTCAACCATGCCTTCCTCCTCAAGAATAGTAAACCAAGTAGGATTAGACTTCTTTTTTCAAGCTCTTTCCTCTTTCTCTTTCTTCACATGCTAGAACTCTAAGTCTAAATAAAATATCTAAAATAATTCTAGTTAAATATATTCATTTGTCAAAAAATAATGCCAACACAATATGGAACTAACAATCTCCCCCTTTGGCAATTTTTTGACAAAAACGAATCTCAGCTATTTTGAACCTCTTCTCCCCCTTTTTTGCATAAAAAATGCCAAAGGTTTTATTAAGAATATGGGGGCAAAAAGAGAAGAGTAACATTCAAGCGAGCTTGAGCATTACAATAATGAACATAAAAATAGACCTAGACTTTGTCACATCAACCTTTGCCACACTTGAGCGACTCCCCCTCGGACGATGCATCTGAAAAAGTAACAATCTGCAAAAATAAAGACATTTATGCAACCAGCAAAAACATCTATGCTCTAAGGTATTCCACGCTGGAGATGAAACACCTCTTAGAGCATCTTCTAAATCAGGTAGAGATAGGTGTGCACAGACCCAAGCTGGATCTGAGTATACCAAACCGATTCCCATCAAATGCTCTTCTACACATGCCCAATGCCCGTTTTTTCATAGTCATAAACTTCTCACTCTCATGACTAGGACGTGACACTTCATCACACTTATGAGATGATTCAGCACTCTTAACAGCACAGCGATCTGTTTTCTTTTCTTCTTGATGCAAGCTTGCACTACTAACATTGCATTGATCAGAAGCAACATCCTTCACACAAGGATTATCACCTGTTTTGTACTGATTCTTAGGTACCCAAATCATCCTTGTTGTCACATTCTTTTTTCTATATCTTTGCTCTTTAAAAATCTTGCATTTCCTCTGAATGTGTCCCCTTTTTCCACAGAAAAAACAAACATAATTAGCATAAACATTAGTATAAGAATACCTTTCGGGTTTAGCATAATGATCCTTGTGTCTTCTCATACTAGATTGGGTCACAACTCTTTGCCTTTTTGCATAGGGTGCTGCATAAATTGTTCTAGCAGAAGCTTCATGAGATGCTTCAGCGGGTCTGGCAGAAGATGTTCCAGCAGATTCAGCAGCTTCTAGTTTCCTTCTTTGTGGGGTCTTTTGAGCAACTTCCTTTCTTTGATCAACAAACAAGTCAAGTGGGGTCTTGTTGCTTTCAGAACCTGTAAATCCGAGACCCGTCTTGTCTCTATAAAATTTGGAAACGTTCACTTGTTCCTCAATAGCTTTTGCTCCAGCACTCCTCATCCACTTGTAAAAGTTATTGAGTTGATTTAACTCATACTTGAGATCTGATTGTTGCCCTTCTTAGTCTTCAATCTTCTTTTCTAGGTCTGAAATACTCTCCTTTAGTCTATTGCGCTCGTCAACAAGCTGATGATTCTCCAGGACAGTTTTCTGGTTGGCTTGAACAAGTTCTACCCACTTCCTTTGGAGAATAGCTAGCTCTTCTGCTGTGTCAACCTCTGTGTCAACTTCTGTATCATCCTCTGTGTCATCCTCTGCTATAACTTTACCTTTGTATCTCCGTAACTCTTTGATGAGTTGTTCCACATCGCGTTTTGATTCAGCAAGTTCACGTTTGAGGCTATCATTTTCCAAACTTTTTTTCTTGTTGACCCGTAGAGACTCTTGAAATTTTTCTTCAACAATTATAAGCATCTCCTTTGGATCCACGTCACTATCAGAGTCACTGTCAACACTATGGAAAGTTGGAAAAGCACAGCCTGTTCCAGCACTGTCTTTAACACACTGCTTCTCTTTTTCAACGAGGATGACATGCTGCTTTTTACGCCGTAGATCTTCTTGCATCTCCAACTCAATGGTTTCTAAGTTCCCCATCAGCTCGTCAAGAGACATAGTATTTAGAGATTGTGTTTGTCTAATAGCTTTGACATCTATGGAGTATTTTTCTAGAAGAGAACGTAAAACTTTCAACACCAACTTGTGTTCTGTAATTGGTTCAGCAAGCCTTTCAGCCTCATTTGCCAACTATCTAACTCGCCCATGAAAGTTTGTGATAGACTCAGTATCCTCCATCTTAAGATTTTCAATTTTAGACATCACGATCTAAAGTTTGGCTGTCTTGACTGTTGTAGTGCCTTCATGAGTAATAAGCAAAATGTCCCAAGCTCTCTTAGCCTCTGTGCAATTTGAGATAAGACGGAACTGATTTCTGTCAACCACTCCGAAGATTGCATTCAAAGCCTGATCATTCGATTCTGCAGCATCCTTTTCTTTCTTTCTAAATCTTTCATAAGGTTTCTGAATTAGTTCTCCATCTGCATTGCCTAGGAGCTGACCATCCAACCTCTATGCTTCTCCAAACTTGTCCACCAAGAGACTTGAGAAAGGCTCTCATTCGACACTTCCAAAAAGTATAATCATGGCCGCATAATAGTGGAGGTCTAAAGACATTATCACCTTCTTGAATACCTCCCATGATGATAGATCAATCAAGCTAATAACTTAAGCTTGCCAAGCTCTGATACCAATTGTAAGTTCGTGGAGCACAGCGGATAACACCAAACACAAGCTATGCAAACAAAACAATCAACTATGTTGTAGAGAATATGCTGCAGCACTGTCACAGTAACAGATGACGGACAGTGTGCTATAACACTTCTCTGTCACAAGCACACACGTATAAAATAAAGTAAAAACAGCAAGCAAGACACCAGAATTGTTCACGCAGTTCGGAGCAAATTCTCCTACGTCTGCAAGGCCCACGTCCGTGTAATAGCCCTTCCACTAAATCACCGTAAGAATTACACAATCAATCACAACAGAACCTTCTAATGTATTGATTTGTCTACT